TTTCAAATTCATCACATAAACATGAACCTACACATAAACATGAACCACATATATTTCAAATATGAACCTACACATAAACATGAACCACATATATTTCAAATTTATCACATAAACAACAAAATTAGTATCAAAGTACTGCTCGAATTACTAGTATTTCAAATTTATCACACAAACAACAAAATTAGTATCAAAGTACTGCTCGAATTACTAGTATAAGGGAATGTTATGTATATTCTTTAATTTGTGATCTAAATATTGGTGAATAGTCATCACGCTTGATGAAAACATAGGCATGTGATAAAATAAAATAAATTTTCTGTTTGGAATAAAAAATACAAAACGTCACATTCGAGATATTATAATCATTCATCCTGAATCGTACCGTGTCCCAACCTACGATTCATCCTGAATAAGTTTGTTTGGAACGATTCATCCTGAATAAGTTTGTTTGGAGAGCACATTAGTTCGTAAGTTTTCTATCAAAGAAAATGAAAACAGAAGCGAAATAGAGAGGAGAGACTACATTTTGCTTCATCATTATTTTTTCTAATTTATTTTATTTTTTCATATGAGTATTTTAGGTAAATTGAAATAATGTCCTTATTTGTACCAATTAAAAAACATAAGGGGTTTTACAAACAAGGGGCTAATGAGGGGATTTTTTGCACTTAACCCTATATATAATTAAATTAAGGAACAAGTAAAAACAAAGAGAGAGTGAAAAGGGGTGAGGGGAGAAACAAATGACAGGGTGGCCATGCTTCCTAGGCTCCAACATACTTTGAATGAAATTTCGGAAAGCAGATGTGAAAGGGTAATAAAAAATAGGTGCCAATGTGATTCAAGACCATGATTAATCTAAACTAGTTTGTTAATAAACAGCATTCAATGTTCAAGGTCACCACCATTATAGCAGATAGTATTTATATTGGGCTTATGTTCATTTCTTTTATGTTTCGTTCAAAATGCATCTTACATCGCCTCTAAGGAACTGAAAGCTGATGACAGTAACAGGTGAGAACCAAATTGCCATGACTAGAAATATCTTCTTACATGTCCGGTACAAATGTTATATTATCAAATTCATCGCCGACCACCTCTCAATCTGTCGACAACTTGGACACAAAAATCTAACCGGCCACCACTACTTGAATTGAAAAAGGATACTTGAAGAAGAAGTAATTTGCAGCCGAATTGCCTCCACTTCTCAAGAGCAATCTACATTAAAACCAAAAGTAAATTAGCAAAGGCAGTGAATCAATGACATCAGTACATAAACTCAAAAGGTTTTGACGGAGTTTTAAAAACAATAACCTTGATAAAAATCATGATAATGACATAGATGAATAAGAGAAAAAGTTCCAAAAATAACAGATACAGGAGTTAGAAACACCAGAAACTATGTGTTTTCCATGGATGTAATGCTTGGTAATAATTCACCTGCCAATAGCCAAATAAAAGCCAAATGAAAGTAATGGTTTAATGGCATTTGGTAGGACCTAAAATACACAAAGTGAGACAGAAATTAGTTAAAGAAATACGAAATACGGAATATATGCCACCCAAAATTAATGGGTCCAGGAATGAATGAAGGTAGTGGTAGCAATGCAGAATAAGTCCAGCTCCAGCACAAGTAACCATACGGATTCTCACCAGACATCCACATCTTCCTCTTCTCTTGAGGACCTAAGTGTGAGAGAAAAAATTTACTGCACAAAAGAAATGACCATTGATGCAATGAACATGGAAGTAGACTACCGGTTATGCAGAACGAGACCAGCTTTCTACTTTGTTGGTGAAGACTTCTTCATCCCCGGGTAAACCCAATTCTTCATCTAATTTCTCATTTAATAATTCTTCCCAAAATTCATCATCAAGTTCTTTAACCCCAATCCCAATTTGTTCAAGTGCTTGATGTTCTTTTTCTGACTCCTTTCTTGCTCTGCCAAATCCAATGCAAGTTCCTCTAGCCCGGATACTTCAAACCTGTAAGGATCTTCAAATTCCAGGGGTTCTATCTTAATGGGGTTTAATCCTTTGACACTTTGACTTGACCTGTCACCAACAACATTAGGCCCTTGAATTGGCCACAGCCACTCTTTCCTAATTGCTTCTTCAAGCTCCATTCTTTTCTCCTTCTGTCGGACTAATTGCTGGATAAAATCTGCACTTTGCATTGCTCTTGCCAAAAAACTCGTCATCTGTTGCTGCTTCTTTTCTGTTCCGTGCAGCCTCAGTTCCATGGCTAGAAGGTGGGCTCTGGTATTCTGCTGTTGCTGTCTTAGCTTCAGTAGTTCCATCATCAGGGCCTGCTTGTCACACATCAAGCCATCTAATCTGAACCGCCCAACTTCATCACAAGAACTAAGAGATTGTTGGGCAGGAAGAGGCAGAGAAGGTGCCTTTCTTCTTCTGATGTTCCTCAGAAGCATCTTCTGCCCCCTCAGAAATCCTTCATTGGAAAATTCCCATCTATCTGGATCAATCTTTCTGAAACCCTGCGAAAACCAAGTTCCACAGTCAGATTCAGTAATCCAAGAACCAAGAACTTCTGAAAAACTGAAATTCATATGCAGATTCAAAAGCCTCATTAAACTATGCACAAGAAATGAACTTGATTGAACAGTGGAATACATTGTGAGTTAAGGTGCCTTAAATGTTTCTGTTACGACTTCATGCACAAAAATTATCCTTGGTTTTTCTTCATAAACATAAGGATTGATGACATACTAATGAGAGATATATTGGCAAGACACTAGGATATGATTATTAGCTATCACCAGTTATATAAGTCAGTAAAGAAACTAGAGACCTAAACAGTGGAAACCATCTTGCCATCCACGTTATTGAAGGGGTCTTGAGGGAATGGTGTCCCAACTCCTCTCTTCATCTCTTGTTTTAGCAATTCAAAGATTGTAGATTGATCCGGCATGATAACCCGGAGGTGAAAAGAGTTGCAGTAAATACTAAGTTGTGGTGTAGCAACTGTAATACAAACTCTTGAGTGAGTTGTGAGAGAATTACGTCCATTGGTTTTTCACTGGTTTATTGTATGGTGGAGTAGGTGGTTAAATTCTTAGAATGACCTAATCTCCTAATAACAATTCCAAAATGTTGATAATGAATTAGAATTTTGCAGTTTACCTTGGATGCAGGCCGTAGTGTCAAATTATGTGAATTCTCAGTATTCCTGATTGTGGTATGTTCTCAAATTTGTATCTTTTGTAAAAATTTCGCACCTCAGAACCTTGAAAGTCAAAATGCACAAAAAAAAAAAAAAAAAAAAAAGGGGAGAAGGAGAAAGATTGAAACATCTGCCATGCTGAGAAGAATAGGAGATTAAAAGAGAGAGAAAAAAAAAATTCATTGAATATTTAATGCAAACGTGGAAGAAGAGACATGCTCAAAATGCCTTTAACAGACCAGTATTGATTTTTGGTGCCACCAGAAGATCATTCAAATCAGTGTAGGACATTCTCATAGTTTATTAAACATACAGGTACATGACGTACCTATAATTCATATAACCATACCCATCCAAAAGCATTAATTCTGCAAAATTAACTCCAGAAATGAAATTAGATGGAATACAAGGAAACCAAGAAAAAGTACTTGCATAAGTGTTGAGCTGCCTGACAAAACTTGACAAATTGTTGTGCCTGAAGTATCTGGGGAGGAGATTGGCAGAGAAGGCATGAGGATCCCACACAACAAAGCTGTGACCCCCTCTGCTCCAACAAATTATGTGATCGGTGGTTGAGTCATCCACCATGTCAAAGGTCTTTGTGACAAATGGTGGATGGCCTATATCATGAAGCCCCTCCATTGGCTGTGGTGGTGGCATCATTGGCGGCTCACCGGATCCCGGGTACTCCTCTTTAATTGGGTATGAAGGATTCATCATCAATATTGCAACAAGATGCTTAAATCTTGCTGGGTTTCTATTCTTTTTCCAATTTTAATTATGCTACCACTTTTTTTTTGTTTGTTTTCATTTATTATTAGTTTTTATTGCTAGCTTTAGAGAGTTCTGGAACTCCTGGAGGAAGGATTGGGATGGTGGAGGTATGGTGTGGGATTCACAAAATGTATAAAGGGTGGATTGGTTTGTGTGAGTAGTATTGGTTGCGTTCCGCATACTATGCACCCGGCATATCTAAGCCATCTATATACTGTACGAGTTAATGTGTGTATATCTTAAACATCTCGAATGTGTCCAAAATACTATGCACCTGTCACCCAAAATCTATTGGGTTTGCAGGACCATGCTATTTCTATAGAATATGATTGGTGGTCATCATTGTCTTCATGACCCACTTGACATCAACTGAAAACAACAGTGGGGTTGGCTACAATCACAAAATTGCTAAAAGTCACTCTTGCTTGGTTGTTGGGAAGTAGTAACTTTAAATTATATGATAGCATGGTGAGGGTACAAAACTCGTCGCTTAGATCAAATCAAGTTAATTTTATCATTACATAAAACAGTTGCCATTATTTTCAATTAGTTACATGCTTTAAATGAATTAATCCCACACCAAAGAGGAAAGCAAGAAGATGACTTAATGCATTTAAACTTTAACAAAAATCACCATTTTGGAATAAAAGAAGATGATGTCACGTGCACTCCAAGTTGCAAATCCATATTTTAGATAAAGACTGTGTAATACAACACATAATTAAATAATCATATAATAATAATATGACAGAACCTATATGGAAAGTTGGAAACCTGTAGGACAACGATGGCTGACAACTGTTGGAGAAATAAAATGAACCTTCTGATTGTTCTAGAAATTACTAGATTTTTGTAATTAGAAATGTGTCACTGGGTAGGTACCCTGCATTCCAAATTTCCAATGAATTATCAATTTGCTCATAAATAAATATATAAATAAAAATAATGTACCAAATTAGAAACTGGGAAGTAAAACTATTCTACAGTGGGGCAAGTGGCTATTCAAGTTCTTCATCGTGTGCCATGCATGAGCTATGAAAACTGGCAAGCACCAATCCATAAAAGCCCTTTCAGATGATGAATAACAAGAGTACCAACCAATGAAAGAAGTATCAATTCTAAGGAGACAAGTCTAAATTTAAATTCAATAAATTTTTATACAATGTCAAAACTGGAGTTCATATGGGACCTTTAATAGGGAAGTCTAGGAATGAGAAATTAGAATCCTGTAAATAACCACCATAATGCTAACTACGGGAAGGAAAAAAAAAAAAAAAAAAAAAAGAAACACTATCATAATGCTAATATAGCAATATACGTAAACTAATATTATAAAGGCCAATAATACTCCAAATGGCAAGTTCAAGGAACACGCTCATCAATAAAATAATCAAAAGGGCATTACCTAATGTTTGGTAGAGCGCCCAGCTCTCCGACCGAATATACCCATGTTCGAGTCCCTTCCCCCTAATTTGACTGGATAAATAAATAAAATATTCAAAAAATAATAAAAAAAATAAAAATAAAATAAATCTTACCTTATATTCTGTTTTAGTAATACTTGATTCTGCTATGAATGACAGAGTACAGTTATAAGTAACAGAAAAACGGCAGAAATAGCTCATAATGTGGTAGTTACTCTTCATCTCCTGAAATACTCACAGTTCCATTCTGGAAAAGAAAAGTGGAAAAAAAGAAGGCAAAAGAAATCTTACAGTACAAAACCATGCTAATATAGTGCCAAATTTGCATTGTACAATTGAAAATGGGCATTCTATCTCTTATTCAGCAATCAGATGCTAATTTCTGTATAAACTAGTTTGACTTGAACACAAAATTATAAGTTGGTGAGACTGAAAGAAAAAAAAATCAAAAAATGAAGTACTTGGAAGAGTTGGTGTATCAGAATCCAAGCAATCTATCAATTTGATCACACTACAATTTATGTACTAAAGCTAAGAAGTCAATGCTATTACTAAGATTGCTGTTCAAAAGCTGAAATATCAAGCTACTTCATCTGTCACATTATCCCTTTCTCTGAAGGTTCTTGGGAAAAGTCAGCAGTTCCCATTGGAACCACAACAACTGACAGGTTATCAGTGCTGCCTCGCTCAAATGCAGTGCGAACAATGCAGTCGGCCAAGGACGAACATGAGGACGGAAGCTTCAATCTTCTATTTCTGTGGAGATGAGCATCACTTAAAAGATCACATACATTCTGAGGGCTCAAGCTTTCAAATATGCCATCAGATGCAACCACTAGATAGCTGTCGTTGGCAGTTAAAGGTTGCCAGTCTGTCAATTCTGGCACAGGAATAATACCATACCTGAGAAAAACAATAAAACTTTATAATTAGATTGTAGATTCCCTCTTTCATAACTTGCATGCAAATATATATGTGATAATTAGTGCAAAGCTTAAACAACGTTGACAATGAAAGAGGCAAGTACTGACAGTATCCTCTCGTAGTGGAGGAAATGGGGAATGATAAACCCCAAACGCTAACCATCTATGTTAGGAAACATCAACAGAATGATATGTCATAAGAAGATAATAATAAATTAAGTTGTCATTGGCGTTCGTACTTTTTTAAGGGCACATCTCCGATAGCACGTGTCATGGGAAAATGACCGTTGACTAGAGGGACATCCCATTCAAAAATAAAACCACCAGCTGCTTCAATCCGGGCCCTCTCTTCTTCTCTATTTGCATTATGATCTCTTGTCAGTTCCTTAGCAGAGAGATACGCCATCAAGGTACCTGTTATTTTTAAGTGAAATAAGCCATTCCGATTATCAGCGAAGAATATGAAAATTTCAATATTGAATGTGTGTCTGTATATATGCACGTGTGCATTATTGCTCATCCATAACATACTTCATGCACAAATATGAAAGACAAGTGCAGTTATTATTCCAGCACGGATGAGTAAATTGTGAATTGAAGCAAAGATAGGCCTTAAATATTAAAGTAGAAAAAGTGTAAAAGACCTTTGGCGTCTTGATGTGAGTCAATTTTCTCAGAGCACAAAAGTGCCTTTGAATCACCAACATTGGCAACTAAAATTTGACCATCCACCAAAAGAGCAATGACAGCTGTGGATCCTGAAGGAAGGTTGTTTCTTAAAGCTTCCTGGAAGTGGAGTGGCCAAAAAGAGTAAGTTGTGAGGAAAAGCAGAAGTCTTGTTTAATTTAGAAATGCATAATCCCAGAAACAAGGACCAAAAATAACTCCTACCTCGGTGAATGTAAGATCAATGTCTTTGATTGTTCTCAACAATGCTTCCTTCAAAATTTCCATATATGTTGATTCATCTGAAACTACATCTAAGATTCGCCAGAACTGAGACAGCACCAATACAAAAATTATCTCATGAACAAAAACATCTAGGCTTAGATTCACTACTTCTTTAGTTTGCTTCTCTACTCATCATTCTTTCGAAGACAAGGTATTATATGGATCGGTAACTATGCAGACTCACATAAATATATACATATATTTATTGCAGATATGCCATGTGACAGCCATGTCTAAACAGGACCAAAAGGATTCAGGAAAGGATCAATAGTGAACTTGTCAGTGGGATTACGGTTAACAAAATTACAGGGAATGTATTTTATCTGCAAATTAAGATAACAGATTTAAATAAAATGTGCGAATGAATATGGAACAGAGAGTAGATCTTGATTTTCAAACCAACATACAGATAGTAATAAGTGCATTAAAGGCAACCAACAATTTGGGGGGAGAGTGTCTAAATCACACAAGGTAGAAGTCCACATTTGATTTATAAATTGACAAATATTAAACATCAAAGTAGGAATCAAATTGAAATATAGAAAAACATAAAACAGTAAGCACAAGTTATCGTAAATAACACATGCTATGTAGTAAGCACAAGTCATCGCTAAATAGCCCATGCTATATTGGTAGTACATTAGAAAGAGACAGACCTTGCAAAAGTTGATTTATGCTCTTGCAAATTCATATCATGTTCTTCCTTGAATGAGGACACACTCTTGTATGTTCCAATTACAGTGTGCAGGAAAAAGTAATCCAGTAAAAGTTTTGAGGCCATCGCACTAGCTTCCTGCCCTATATGACCATCAAAAACTGCCACCAAGCCAACCTTGACATCTTCGCGACCATTTTTGCCTGCACAAAATCCAAGTTCAGAAACTTTAATATTTTTCATGTCCAGCTTATTAGTTAAAGATTGTTACTTAATATTCCAACAGACTTCGCCTTATGGTACAACCATAGCATTAGAACTGAACCCAACTATATACGTGTGTGTTTGCACGTGTGAAAAAGAGGGTTGACATTACCAAATATTGGTATCTGCATATCAAGATTGCATGAGACACGATCCTCTTGATATTTCCTTCTTCCCTGAGTTATGGAAAACTGACAGTTGACAATTTGATTTTGAAGATATCTGGTGGAGAGCACCCAATCAGGACATTCCGGGGACTGAAAAACAGCAGGAGCACTGCCTTTGTCGTAAACCATCATGCATGATATAGATACCCCATAGGAGGATGGAATTGAACATACAAAAACTCCAATTAGAACTAACAGGACCTTAAATCCATCCATGGTTGATTTGATGATTGAGCTCAATTCCTGAAAAATAAATAAATATAGAGAAACAAAAAGCGCAGAAAAAATTTAAAGAAGACAAAAAACAAATGTATACTCATGTAATAGAGGGAAAAGATGGAATTTTAAGATTTCAAAGAAGAAAACTCAAATGTTATTATATGTAAATAATGTAATAGAGCAGGCTACAGCATTTAAATACTAAAAATTTGTATTAAGGAATGTAAAAATTGGGGCAAATTATATTAATTGAATCATTTGGTTAGGGCGTAGTAGTCATCAAACAGCACAAGAATGCTATTAACATAACACAACATGATTATACACCAGTGTCCTGTAGAATTGCCGCTTATATATGAATAAATATAGTAAATTAAATATATGAATGTAACTGACCATAAAACTAATTGTAGATAAACAATTTAGCACTTCAGGCCAATATGTAACTACTGAAACTGTGTCAGTGATTAATGGCACGCATAGATGTCAAGAATTCAAAACTTGGGATCAATAATATAATTTGGATTGTTTCTATCATACGCCAAAATACTAGAAATATATAAACAAAAATGTCAATGCTTCAACGGGTTGTTAACAAGAACGGCATTAGGGTTTTACCTGAAGTCGTCTCTCAAGTATGCTTCAAGGGAGTTTAATCGTGAAGGGCAGGGTTTTACCTGAAGTTGTCTCTCAAGTTCTTATGGAGAGTATTGAATTATAGATAGTTTTCATTCGCTATATATTATATATTATTAAAAGTACGAAAAATTTTGTACATCATTTTTTATAATAAATAAATAATAAATTTACCTTTCTTTTGTAATTCCACTACCTTATAATATTAATATACTTTATAATTAAATAAAGTATTAATAATCTTATTAATAATATTTTTTTAACAAATTAATAAAATACCATTTTTAAATTTGGTGTAATCAAGTCCCTCTGGCACATTTAAAACCAAACTTGACTAAAATACCCTTAGTCAACAATTTTATAAAATAGATAAAAATATAAAAATTTGTAAAAAGACTAAAAAGGACAATAAACAGTGACTCGTTTAGGTTATGGCTCGGCCGGTGGAATCGAACAGGGGACTTGCAAGTTGCAATTTGGAATCGAACTCGTCTGGGTTTTGCAATTGGGTTCGCTGGGGTCGAGCTCTCCTCAAAAAAATATTCATGGGGTTTTGATTGTGAAGACGAGCTCGGTTGTGGAGAGCTCGGCCGGTGGAATCGGCGGCCAACGAGCAAGAGAGGGTTCGGCAATGTAGCGGAGGTGACGGCAGACGGGCTATGGAAAGCTTAGATTAAGTCTTATAGAGAGTAGAGAGAGAAGGATGGCTATATTCGGAAGGCACCGGCGGGCAAGGAACTTCTCAGCTGTGAGCGACGACGGGCTTGGCTTTAATGATGGAGGCAGCGGCAAGCTCGGTTTTGATGGAGCGACGGCAGAGAGAACGGACGGTGGTGAGAGTAGAGAAAGAAGGATGGGTATTTTCCAACCCTCATTCACAGATCCGTTAACACATTATTTTATCAAATCATCCGTAATTGGTTCAAGTGTTCGATTTTCTTAATTTTTTATTTGGTACCTTGTTGATTACGATCTATGAATCTCTCATTATCTCTCTTGGTGAAATTTTTTGGTTCATGATAAGAGTGAGACTCGATTGCTAAACTGATTGAAAATAATTTTCACTATACTCTGGATCTGATTTTAATATTTAATTATTTGCAGGGAGAGCTAGAGTTTGGACTTTCTAATGTAAGAATTTCATTGTTCTTGAATGTTAATAATGTTTTTAAATTGCTACAATAAATTATTATTATTATTGTTATTATTATTATTATTATTATTATTCTTGTTTTATGGATTTGAATTTCAGTTCAATATGAGTTGCTGTCATTTGAATTTCAGTTCAATATGAGCACAGTTGCAAGGCAGAAACTCATTTTTTTTCTTTTTGCCTTTTTTTTTTTTTTTTGGTTTCCTCACTGTGTTGATGTAATGGGTTTGAAGAATGTGTGTGTGTGGGGTGGGGGGGGGGGGGGGGTGTGATAATGATGATGATGGAAACAAAGGGAGGAAACCAACAAAAAAACAAAGTGACGAAAACAATCACAGTTTCTCAAGCTTTAATTGCTCACACTGATTCATAATTGCAAGTTTATTGCAATTCTAGAGTTTCAAACTGAAAATTGCACGTTGGTGGCTAAGGAGAAGGGTTGTGGATATTGCTTGTTATTTGAGTTCTGGGTTCGAGATAATTTTGAGTTCACAGACCCTGTAGAAGGGGAAGAGAGTGGATCCTGATTCCCTTTCATATACCCATTAAACCGGCTTTGCAATCTGTAACGACCCGAAAAGATACCAAAATAATAATAAAAAATTTTGGCATGACTTCCGTAGAAAATGTCCCTCAGAAAACCTATAGAAATACAAAAATAAATGCAATGGCCTCACTGGGCCTTAAATCTAACTTATCATGTCCCAACGCACAATTCAGATATTATACTACATTCCCAAAATGGTTACATACATACAAAAGTCCCGTTCCTTCATCTCATCCAAACAAGGGACACATCCGTTACATCAAGTTACAGTCCATAATTGTAGCTAAAATTTTAAAATCCATTGCTTACAACATTATATCAACTAAACTAAAGTTTCACAAAATATTTAAGATTACATTTACAAAATATATATTAAAGTTCTAATACAAAAGATAGCAAAAATAAAATAGATCTCCAAGCTCGTCTAAACTTGTGGTGGATCATCGTCCGCCACCTCTTTTCCATATCCTGAAAAATGTTAAAAATAATGGGGTGAGCATAAGCTCAATAGAAAGTATCTAAGACACACTTCTTATGTCCCCGTGAATCCATACAATGAATAGATAAAAAGTGAACGGGATCATGCCATCGGGAAACGCACATTCTCAATCACGATAACAAATATGTAACAAATATCAACCAATCACAAATTTACAACAATGTCATGAAGTGCAATGCTATGCAAATGTCACTCCCCATTTCTGAAACAATTCCATTTCAACAACCAAACCGTCAGTGCAGTCCGACCCAAGGCACCTCCATGGCGTCACAAAAGGAAGGTTGGTTAACTATCCACGACCATAAGGCACCTCCAAGGCATCGCATCCGGCCTAGTTAACTCAATTACATTCCCTTCTAGACTACACCAACTTCACAGACCACTAGGCGCCTCCTAAACGTCCGATTTTCGCAACACTTTTAGAAAATATTTTCTCCAAAACAATTTTATTTGTTCTAACAAATATTTTTCCCCCTTTTCTCTTTCCCAATGAATGCATGAATGCTTTATACTTCAAATCATCAATTTAAGTATATGATTTCACACATTTCTATTTACATCATCATCACAATTTAGAGAAAATTTCTAAACATTTATTTATTTTATTTATTTATTGACCATAGCATCAATTTTTCAAAGCAATATATAAATAAATACATAATTTTAGGGCATACAACATGTCAACACTAAGCATGTTCATTCACCATAATAAATTTAGTCATATATATTATTTCAAACAACATATGGAACACATCTATCATTTTAGTTAATCATACTTACAACAACCACAAGCTAGGTAATCAAAATTAGCATGCTTAGGATCAAATTTAAGGAGAAAATTCACAAAAAAACTAAGAAGTTGTAGATTAGAATACCCCTACCTCACTTAGATGCAAAACCCCCAATTTTGAGCCCAAGAA